TACAATATTTTCTGCAAAGGAATAACTTGCAGTGATATGAAGATACAGAAATAAAAAGAGACATCATAAATGCAGTGCCCCATTTATTCCCTACAAAAATAACCTCAAAAATGGAAACAGACTAGTTCGAGAAAATATTATAGTGGTCATTGTAAAAATCGAAGCCTTTTAAATCAAATTTATCACAAAAGACATCTAATTAAAGCAATTTTTCTCGTTTGTCATTTTATAGACTTCCAATAATGAAACAAAAGTTTTACAAGAGAAGTTTCCAACTGGAAATGTTTTACCAAATATTCACTCCCAGCTCTTCCACTGATTGTCCAAGTGGAGCCGCAGAATGTTTTCTCCAAAAAGCCAGCTGGAGAGTGAACCCCTTTGCCACCTGCTAGGTGTCCTCTGAACAGAAATGCTCTTTAATTGGAAGAGTAAATCAAGGAGCACAGACTAATGGCACCAAATTATATCATTGTTTAAGTAATTCACTGATCTTCATAAGATCATCTCATGATCTTGACTAGTGTATGGTCTACAGGAAAGGTAAAAAAAAAATACATATATGTATATATATATATAAAGAGAGAGAGAGAAAGAGAATGTGAACGTCATTTTGGGCAGACTTAGTCAAAAATGCTTTCAGAAGTTGGGTTTTTTCTTCTCCTTCTAAATTAAAGACCTTGCACTGAACTTGAAATTTCCACATAACTTTAGAATCCCCTGAGGTCAATCCAACTAAAATCTCAGTTGATACATTTTTCTATATGTTTCATCACATCTTCTTTAAAGTTTACATATTATGAGATGAATCCTGCTCAAAATGATTTATGTTTCAATATATCTAAAACAAGTATTTTATTAATCCATCAACTCCAAAGGCAACTATGGGACCAAGAGGGTTTATTGAATTTATACAACATGACACATTCTTAATTGCTCCCCATTTTGTATCTCACAATATGAAATAACAAAACTTGCTACGATATAAACACACATCTAAGGATTTTTGCAAACCTCGTTCTTTCTAGAGCATTAACAGCATTTGTAGAGTAATTCATTTTATTATGAAACTCTTGTCAGGTCTTTAAAAAATAAATATAGCTATTTTAGTAGATGTAAAAATGCAATTCTTTTTATTAATACCTAAACATAGGTAGGCCAAAATTAATAAAGTCTCAAAATTTTGCACGCACTTTGGTTGTTGAAATTGGAACACATTTCTTCACAGGAAGGCTGGGGAACGGGAGGGATGCTAGTTCTCAGATCAGTTCATTAACCTATATACTCTTTGACATATGTAGCTGGAGTTTCTGATCCCAAGACCTGGGAATCTCATGGTTTAGAGAGACATAAGGTTAAGGCGAAGAGCATTTTCTCTTTTCTAAAGACAAGACTCTTTTCCTGAGCAAAATTGTAGAATGGGCAATTTGGCTTTAAGACAAAGCAAGATGAAAAGGTATGTTTCCCTTAAATGAAAAATCTACGAATTGCTTATGATTCAAAGAATATTTCTTAATTTAGAATATTATTTGTTACATCACTTAAGAGGTTTCCGTTATGTGCAAGTAATGCTGCAGTCTTGCATCTGACTGGCACCAATGTGTTAATAGGAACATAAAACATTTTTAAATTTATTTTTATGTTTTGTTTGCTATTGGGCTTCTTCAACTCCTACCCCCCTCTCTTTTCTCCCAACTTTGGGGTCCCCCAGTGTCTGTGTCCCCATTTTTATGTCCATGTGGACCCAGTGCTTAGCTCCCATAAATATTTTAGATTAGGAATTTTCAAATATTTTAAGTTAGGGTGCCCATTTCCACCTGTCTTCCGTTTTGACCTTAATAATGTGTAAGAATTCTAAGTAGGTGTGTGTGTTAGGCAGTTTCCATGGTGTTTGCTTCTTCTGTTTAAGAATACAGCAAAGCCAAGCCTTCCTGATTTTGGAAAATTCATTTTGCAGAAATGTTTCTTTAAACCCAACTTAAATATCACAGCAGAAAACTCCATGAAGAAAATCTAAGTTATCCTGTCATTCTAACTTTCATCATTATAAGATAATGATTTCTTCAATTTCATATGTGGTCACCACTTCTAAGCATTTTTTTTTTCCCTAAATGAAAATCCTTTGAGAAATTATCCATGCCTTTCATTTCTTCCCTTCTTGATCCCTGGGGAGGAGGGATGGATGTCATTCCACTGCTGCCTTGTCAGTGTTCCCTGTGGAATGGCAGCCTAGAAAAATGCATTCTGGGTGTAGAATGTCAACCGAAAGGAAGTTTTCGAAAAAGCCTCTCATGAGAATGGGGCACATATGGTCCAGTGCTCTATAGCGGATTGCCACTAGCTCTACTTTCTCTGCCTGCCACAAATATTTAGTTATCAGGAAAAAAGAATGAATGAATTAGCAAAGCGTACAGTGGTTGGAAGATTTGTTTTTTCCTTCCCCACAGATTTGCCAGAGACCCTCAGAAAACGAGGAAGCAATGATTGTGTCAACCTGTCTTACTTAGAACAGACTTAGACTGGTCCATAAAAACAAGATTATGTGATATATATCTGTGTATAAGTTTATGGTGGCATGTACATAGTATGTATCTTATTCTCAATGCTTAAAATAGAAATACGGTATATTATTGCATATACAATATTAAGAATCACCACATTGAATATATTTACATTATGCTATATAATTAAATAATTACCAATAAGTGTAGGCCCCATGTAAAAATCTGTTTCCAGGTAAGTAAAGGACCTATGGGCCGGCCCTATTTGTTTAAAAAGAAATGTTTAGAATTCTATGCAAAAAGAATGCCTCAAACTCATTAGGTCTAACATAAGCTAAACAAATAAAGATTCTCTTACCCAAAGAGCTAACTCAGCAATTTTGCTAAGTCATCAATACAAGATTTTCAAAACCAAAATCACCTCACAAATTGTTTTAAAAACACTACGTCTTCATTTATCTTGTTTACTTAAAACTATAATGTAATTAGGGTTTTTTTTACACATGAATGTTTTTAAATCTTTGTTTACTAAAAGAAAGTAATAATAACATAGTTATATATCTGACCAGCCATTAGAAGTTACATTTTGATCACTTACCTAATGATACATTTCTATAATTGATGGTAACGATTATTAATATGGAGACTCACTTTAGCAAATGCATTTGTTTTGCTGATAAAATCACATTTGTGCTTTGTTTTTAACACTAAATAATATTTGAATGTCCTCTTAATAGATAAATAGATTTTCATGTAGAAATAAAAACAGTAGATTGAAAATGGATAAGGTAATACAATTCTATCTTTAATAAATCTGATTACTGCTAAAAATAAAATACAATATTTGGGACTTGGAAAATAGATATTATTTAAAATTGTTCTGGTGATGTGTCTTTATCAGTAAAATATGGCTCCTGAACCCTCAAAGTTATCAAAAATAAACATCAGAAAATGTATTCATGTTCCTAGTTGCTAGATAAATATTGTGACATTCCCATATATAAATTTTTACACATTGTATTTATATGTAAAAAATTAGAATATACTTGGTATGTATTTATTATGTGATTATTTTTCTTTTTCAAAAGATAAAGTGTAAAGTATTTTAGAATCTAAATCAAAATCAGAAGATTAATTTTCCTGTTTTCTATCACAATACAATATTTTATTGAAAATATTTTCTCTTTTTTATTAAAATATTTTGCTGTCTTTGTTTTCTCTCTTTTCTACCCAAAGTATTTCATATGTGACATAATTTTGAGAGCAGTATTGATTAATGTTTTTAATTTTTTTCAGAGCGATATAATCATCTTGAAAACAGGAGAAAAGTTTTAGAGCCCCAAAGTTTTAAATTCACTCATATCCTAAAATATTACATTGAAATAAGTGAAAAGTACCTAAATTTAAAAGTTTGTGAATCATGAAAAGAAAAAATGAAAAACAAAAGGTATTCTTTCCTTACTTTTAAAAAATATATTTTTAAAAATATGTATCTTTGGTCATGTAATTCAAGGTTTACAAATACCACTTGTAAATCAAAGTTTTAAAATATTGTAAATTTAGAGAATAAAAGTTAAAAACACAAAGAGTGGATAGAATACAAGTGCATTGCAAAATTTCATATTTGTACCTTACAAGGAGGAAATTATTTTCAATTTCACTGTCCAAGCAGCTTACTCGGTAATAAAGTTTTAAGATTTTTAAAACTAAAATCTCATAGAAACAAATGCTTTGATTTTAGTCCTCAGATAAAATTATTCAATACTGCTACCAGAATACAAGAAAGTTTTATCTTGTAAACTCCCAGAAACATAATTTGTAGAAATAGTCCCTACAGATTAGTTCCCTATGTTCTGTGTGGGAGTCTCAGGATTGTACAGCAACCTGGAATCAGGAACGGATTTAGGGAAGTAAAGATTTAACAAGGACTATAGATGTGGCACAATAAACCTTTTAGTTGCCCTCTTAAAACTGCACTCTTTTATCTTTACATTCAGAATCTCACATGTATATTCCACCTCCATTTCAGTACCTTATTTTTTTCAAAGTTGGGATGTAAATTTGACATCACTCTTGTCAATGAACAGCACAATACATCAGATCGAGAGCTTTCTAAAATTATAAATCTGGCCCATGGAAATAAGCAATTAATCTTCAGAGCTATTTTTTCTGTAGCTTCTTGCCTATTTAATTAAATTAACTTAATAATTTGATGATAGTCCAAAGATGTGCTCTCTTAAATGCATCAGGAATGTATAGATACTTTTAATGACACTTTTTCTACATGACTTGAGCATGCACTCCTTAAAAAACTCCTTAAGAATTGCCATCATATTATTTTGGGCCATTTTTCTCCAAAGGGTATGATACATACAGTCTTTATTTCACTTCTTAATAGAACCGTATCTCAAAAGTTCACCATTTCTTTCCAACCTTTAAATGACTCTAGATGCTAATTCTAAACCCCTTTAAAAAATACTTCCAAGTGTTACTTAGGGATGGGAATACATTTTAGTACTTTAATAAATGAATATTAATTCCCAATGTATTGTATTTCCTTTTAGGTATATTTGCTTATGTGAGTCTTTCCCCCGTTTGGAGTCTGATTTCAGTCTTTTTCAGCTTTTAATTTCGCTGATCTGCTTCTTGCTCAACATTCTCTTAGAACCTTCGGCGGCCTCCTGCTCTGAATGTTTACCTTTCTGTTCATGCTTTGACACAGCTGCCGTCTCTTTCTCCTTTTCTTTGGGTTTCAGTGGTGTTTTCTGTGCTTCTTTTACTTTTGCAACTGTTGGCTTCGCTTTCTCCGGTTTCCCACCTTTCGCTTCCTTTTTAGACTTTTCTTCAGTCTTTTCTTTAGCTTTCTTCTCTTCTGCACAGAGTGAAGAAATGGATTATTTTTATTGACCAACATAATATTGTGTATGTAACTGATCATTGAGAACAACTGGACAAGAACAATCGGAAAAGTACAATTGGAAAGAAGGAATATAAGACTAGCGTTCTTGACATCAATACTTTTGACTAGGATCTGTTGAGAAATGAAATGGAAATCATATAATCAAGTTTCTTCACTTTGGTGCACTAAACACTGATCTGAGACTAAGCCAGGATAATATTGGGAGGCCACATCAGGAGATGAATTAAAATGACAATGCTAGATTCTGGTTAGCTAGCAAGACCAAACTCATCTGTGGGACTGCACTTAAGTGACTGGACTAACACTTTCCATCCACTCTTCCTCAGAAACTTTACAAGGAGATACTGATACTGTGCTAAAGATTGGAGGATAATCTTGTGATCAAATGTTAAGTTAAACGAGTTCATGTTGAAGTTTTTCGAAACTAAAGCTTATTGAAAATTTCCAAGGGGGGTAATTATGCAATGCACGTTATTCAAAGTTATTTAATCACAAAATTCTCATACAAAATCATCCAGTTACTCTGTAAACTTCCAACGCCTTTGCAGCTCTTGTGACTATATTCAAGGAATTTTCTTCCACATCCTATAAATGATTTTTAAATCTCTTTTGCTGGTTTCCATTTCTGTGACTGACTGAAACCTTCAACTTTCTGTAGATGAATTTAAACGCACATCCTTCCAGACCCCCACACCAAAATGTTTACTTGTGTCTGGAAGAAAGGTTCCACTGAAATGGCCAGTACCACCTCAAACTCATACAACTCATTTATGTTCACCTAAAAAAACACTTCTGGAGAACCTGTCTTGATCTGGGCTCACCGTTGCTAGAGCTTTAAAGATCAACACAAACATACAACTGTCTGAAGAAATTTTAGTGTGGCACTTAAGAACCTGTAATATCTGACTTCATTCCACCTCTTCTCTCACAGCATCTTTCCAAAAGTTTTTTCCTCCAATAGACTATTTTCTTTTTCTTGAACATCTCACATATTTCCCAAGTGTCAGATTTCATCCTCTGTATTTTCTGTTTTCCACATATTTAAATTTCTTCATGTTTAATTCACATGCAAAAAATGTCTTGGCTGTGAGAATTAATCATGTCTTCCCCTGAGCTCCTGTTTGCCTGAACTTTTATTAAAGTACACATTTCATTTCCTATTATATATCATGTATTACAGATGGTTGTTCACCTATCTGCCTTCCCTACCAGACTGAGAGAACTTGAGGATAGAAAAGAAACTCTGTTATTCATTTCTGTATCATCATGGTGTCTAGCACAATGCTTTTTTTCAGAGAAGACAGAAGAAACGTATACCAGATTACCAATTTTGATCAAGAAGAGAGTAAATATTTCACTATATTCAGATTATGTGTACAATTTAGTGATATACAGATTGCATATGTAAATATGTGTTTAGAAGAAAACTTGTCAAAACGTGTTACATTGCTGACAGTTTTCTTTTTTTATACGATTTTGTGTAAAATTGTGATGTTTGCTTACTCTAAATGACAGCTATCTACTCTTTGTAAGTTTCTGTTGATTTAACCTTAGCTTCATACGTTAGAACTAAAGATATGTGAAATTCGGATCTATTTTTAATTCCATTATAATTTATAAGTGAGCAAAGATGACTTTTAAGAAGTAGAACTACACATATAACAAACTCATTATAATTATTGATTTTATGCTGAAAAACAATACAATTTTTCCTACCTATTTTAGACATTTGTCAGTGACCTTCACCCTTGAAACAGATAACATTGCCTCATATTAGAAAAAAATGGGTGATAATTCAGCAATAATGTGGCTAAAATAAAGAAAACATCAAGAAACTAAAACAACACCCAACTTCTATTTATTTTATCAAACTGATGAAATGTTCTTCTTTTTTTTGTTTTTTTTTTGAGTTGAAGTCTCACTCTGTCGCCCAGACTGGAGTGCGGTGGCCGTTCCCGGCCACCGCAGCCTCTATCTGCCGGGCTCCGGCAATCCTTTCGTCTCAGCCTTCCGAGTAGCCGGAATTACAGGTGCACGCGCTACCACGCCCGGTTCATTTTTTTGATTTTATTGTAGAGATGAGGTCTCGCCTGCCCAGGCGGGTCTCGAACCCGCGGGCTCAGGTTCTTATATTTTATGCCAAAATATTTTTTCTGATTTTCCTCAAAAATAATTTAAGTGACATTTGCACTTAGGAGTCATTAAGGAATGATAAAGCAAAAAGTATTGCCATGCTGTATTCAAATAACCCAGTATTTATTTAAGAAAAAACATTTGATTCAAGACTTTTGTCAAATGGGACACAAAATGACCTAATCAAAAGAATGTCATCAGCATATCTGATTCAATTTTGAAGTTAGCATAACCTATTAGCAATTGTATCAGAATCAAAATGTCTGATGCCAAAGTAGAAAAGCAATATTACCCAATAAACATACTATACATTTTTGGAGTTTAGGAAACGACAAATTGTACCTCTCATTCATTAAGGAATTTCAAATTGCTTAAATTCTTCATTGGCTCAATTTCTCCACATTAAAAAAAGAATCAACACTGTAGTTATCACTTCCTCTAAGGAAGCTGTGGAGATAAGTAACCATAAGCAAAAGAAATTTGAATCCTGCAACATAAGTACATACACATTTTTAAAATACCATCCACACACCCTGCGTCTTAGAGCTCATGAGTTCCCTAGAACTGACCCAGAGTTTAATGTATCTCAGGAGTTACTATAGCAGACTCGCTCTATATATGAAGAATCTAAGACTCGCAAAGCTATTTGGCAGAGATGGCGCAACTCAATGAGTCAGGAGTGGAAACACTAGAACCAGGATACCTCATCTATTTTCTAATCACTGCAAATTACACAATGTTATTAATGTTAACCTATGAAGGGGACACAAAAAATGTATTTCAAGACATATGAGAGCAGATGTAAATACACACGGAGCAAGTGAAAACAGTGAAATGTCTTCTTCCTAAAAGTGACCAAACAGTACTCATCTCCCCCTCCTTAATTAACACACAGACATCTGAAGATACTAATTCCACATCAGTTAGACAGCCTGGCCAAGGCTTGGTTCCCCTCAACTTGGTTCAACTTACCTTTCTGTCATTTTCTTCTACTCCTGTGTCTCTGTTTTTTTTTTTAGTAAACTATAGAAATAGATACTACTTGTCACAGTAGTTACGGGTTCTACACATGTACTGGGTACACACTAAAAGATCTGCCCTTCCCCAGGAGGAAGCCCTGAGGTGGGCTAATCAGTGACTGTCTACTAGCAGGTTGTGCAAGAAGCATGTTGTGTGCGTTCCATGACGGTGGCTGTGGAAATCAAAGGTCTTCAGGGGGAGACTCTAATTCAGCTCAGGTCAAAACTTTCAAAGACAGTTTTTCTTTCTTTCTGTGTTAGTGTCATGTAGTATTAGTTTATGCCTCTTTGCTCTTATTGTTTTCCCAGAAACCATCCATTATACAAAGAGCACTTTTATACATTTCCCATTCTTAATGTGATATATAAGCATAGAAAATAAAAAGGGAAAATTACATAATATGCATATAAACACATATATAGCACATATATGTAGAGCTTATAAACAAACATACACACACACACATATATATACTCATATGCATACATAGATGAGGGGGGACCCCCAAAAAACTGGAATTACCTTTTGGAGGGAGGAACCCTTCTAGTTCAGGCTTTCTCTGCTAGGTTAAGTGTTCGAGGAACCCATCGGCATCCACATACCGGCTAGCATTGTGGTGAGAAGCTGTGTTCAGATTCGGTGAATTTTTTTGGAGATTCTTTTGACACCCTTGCCTGTTTCATGATGAACACACCTGTCTCCACTGCACTGCGTGTTCAGCAGTTTTTGACCCAAGAATGGCATGACCTCAGTGCCCCACCCTCCCTATTCACCCAATCTCACCCCAAACTACTTTTTTTGTTGTTTCCCTGGATGGAAAGATTTCTCAAAGGTAAACATTTTGCCGATGTGGAAAAAAAAGGCAGAAGCACCAAAAGGTATCAAAACTGACAAGTTCAAAACTGTTTTGAGCAGTAGAAAAAGCATCCTGATAGCTGTATTGCCTCCAAAGGAGGTTGCTTTGAAGATGATTGATGTTTAAATATGTAAGAATAATGATGCAATTTTGTATAAACAAATTCTTCCAGTTTGGGGGGATCCTTCCTCGCATGTGTATGTGTTTATATGGGGCGTGTGTGTGAGTGTGTGTGTGTGTGTGTGTGTGTGTGTGTGTGTGTGTGTGTGTAGAATTACTCACATCTTCCCCAGAAGAACATAAATATGAAAATAGAAAGTGTTTATGACAGGCAGATTCAAGATGGCCCCCCGTGATTCTCATTTTCTGGTATTTGTACCCTTCTATTATCCTCTTCCCTTTAATATGGGTTGGCCTAAGAATTTGCTGCTTACCAATAACGTACGGCAGGTGATTGGATGTGACTTTTGTAATTAGTCTAGATAAAATTGTAGTTTCTGTCTTGCTGTTTCTCTCTCTTGTTAGGTTTGATGAAGCCAGCTATCACTTTAGTGAGATTCATGTGGTAAGGAGCTAGGATGGCTTCCAGCCAACAAGCAGCAAGGAACCGAGGCCCTGTTCAAACAGCCTTTGAGGAACTGAATCTTGCCAGCAACCGTATAAATGAACTAGGAAATGATCGATCCTTCCTCAGCTGAACCTGCAACAGCAACCGCAGCCTTGTGAAACTGTGAAACTGAGGACTGAGCTAAGCCATGCCCAGATTCTTGATCTACACAAACTGTGAGAAAATAAATTTGTGTTGATTCAAGACTCACAATTTGCCTTCCTGTGTTACACAGCTATGCACGACTAATACAGTATTCAAAAAATATTTGTGAAAAAATAAATAATGTTTAAAGACCTTTTAAAAATTATCTGTGTAAAGAATGCTCAATTTATACTCAGTTTACCTGGGTTTTTGTCTTAACCCAATCACATACTAATTATATGACCTGGCCAAATTGTTTTTGCTCTCTGGAGGTCAATTTCTTCATCTGTTAAAGCAAGTAATTAATTTGGATGACCTCTAAAATCCCTACTAGGTTTCATATATATGAGATATATTATTTCATATATAAAATTTTATATATTTAATGAAAATAAATTATAAGCGTATATAATTTCTTTCCACTCACGTTTAGAAGATAACCAAATAAAATAAAATTACATTTATTAGATTTAATTTAAACTTGAGGTTAAATTCATGCTGTGTTTCAAAGACAAAGTCTCAATTTATAATTCGTCCATATTAACGTCAATAAAATATTTCATAACCACATGGAAAACTTAGTCTAAAATATGTCTACCTCAAATATTTAACTGTTTATATTTTACTATAATCAAACTAAATTTTGAAAATAGATTATAATTTTTACCTAAATAATTAGTTTTTTGAAAATAATGAATTGAGATTTCTAAAATATACTAATCAGATAAAACCTTTATTTTAAAATAGGAAAAAATCTAAATTTAGGGGAAATTAAACTATCAATTAAAATTCATTTTTTCCTAATAATTGGTAGATAAATTTAGAACAGAAAAACATTTACTCAGTCCTTAAAAAGATATAATATTACAGCGATTCTAAATTTTTTGGTATATTATTGAAATCTTTGATTCTTAAAGTCTTAAAATATTGATCAAGATGTATTCATGACCCTTTCTTTTTGATGAAAGAAAATTCTTTGCTGTGCAAAAGCTCTTTAGCTTGATGTGATCCCATTTGTTCATTTTGCTTTAGATGCTTGTGGTTTTGAGGTCTTATTTAAGAAATCTTTCCCCAAATCAATGCCTTGAGGCATTTTCACAATTTTTTCTTCTAGTAGTTCCATAGTTTTAGGTCTTACATTTAAGCCTCTAATCTATCTTGATTTGATGTTTGTAGCTGGTAAGACATAGTGGTCTAGTTTTATACTTCTGCATACGGATATCCAGTTTTCTTAGCACCATTTGTTAAGAGACTGTCCCATTCCTAATGTCTGTTCTTGGTGCTCAGGAGCACAACAGAACAACTATAGTTGACAATATTTATTGTGCACTTCAAAATAACTATAGGAAAGGATATGGAATGTTCCAACACAAAGAAATGATGAATGTTTTGGGTGATGGTTATCCCAATTACTCTGATTTGATTATTACGCATTGCATGCTTGTGTCAAAATATCACATGTACCCCACAATGTGCAACTATTTTGTACTTATACATATTAAAAATATACAATAAAAACAAGAAAGTCCTGAATTTGGATCTCTTGAAACCAAAATCAAGGTGTAATTCTGGTCAAAAATCATGAACCAGATGTGTTACTTTAGTTTTCTATGGCTGTTGTAACAAATTATCACAAACTTACTTGTTTAAAATGCCCATGTATTATCTCCCAGTTTTCATGATTCAAAAATGTTGGTTCAAGATGGCTCAAATGGGTTTCTGCTTAGGGTCTACAAAGCTAAAAGCAAGTTGTTAAGAGGGCTGCATTTCTAACTGAAGGCTCCAGGAAAGAAGCAGCTTTCATGTTTATTCAACATGGAGGCAGAATTCCTTTTCTTTTCTTTTCCTTTCTTTTCCTTTCTTTTCTTTTCTTTTCTTTTCTTTTCTTTTCTTTTCTTTTCTCTTCTTTTCTTTTCTTATAGGAATCTTCCCCTGTCACCCTGGCTGGAGTGCAATGACATGCTCACGGCCACCACAGCCTCGACCTGTTGAGCTCAGGTGATCCTTCCGCCTGAGTCTTCCAAGTAGCTGGAACCCCTGCTTGGAAGTGGCATACACCACCACACCCAGATAATGTTTGGATTTATTGTAGAGATGAGGTCTCGCCAAACTGCCCAGGCTGGTCTCCAACCACTGGACTCAAGTAATCCTCTTGCCTCTGCCTCCCAAAGTGCTGGGTTTACAGGCATGAGCCACTGTGTCCAGCTCATTTTCTTCTCATGTTTCCCATGTGGTCCTCTCAATTTTTCAAGCCGCCTAAGAGGACCAAAGTTTCATACTTCATGTGTTTCTTTCTCTAATGCTGAATCTCTGCTTTTAGAGACTCATGATATTATATTGCGCCCACTCAGATAATTTAAGATAATCTCCCTATTTTAGACCAACCTTAACTACCTCTGCACAATTTTTTTTTGTCACGTAATGTAACATAGCCATGGGGGTGATACCCAGGGGTGAAGGTCATGGGAACCAAAATTCTACCTATCACATATGTTGATGTTCTCTATTTTCCTCTCATAATTTGAGAGATTCTGTTGGGTATTCAGTTTTATTATTCTTTTAGATATTAAATTTTTAATGTAAAGCCAAAGTAACTTTTTATGTAAATGAAATGCTGAGTGCTTACATAAATCCAACTTCTGTTCCTCAAATTGTAATCTGTTAAAGTTTAAAAAAAAATTTATGGAAATAAAAAAAGGAAAATTACCTTTTGCCACTGTCTTTGTTTCTGGTTTTTCCTTTTTCTCCATTTTTTCTTTGTGAGTTGCTTAAACAGAAAATTTTGCATTAGTACACACTTTCAATAGATTTTAAAACCAAGTCTTCTCTTGACCTCAGTTTTATGACCATCAAAATCATGTAATATTTTGAAGACTTATGACGTTAATGAGCCTAATTCAGAAATAAAGTTATTAATGTTATAGCAGCTGTATAGAATCCAAAGTAAAAGCCTTGGCATTAGGATTTAGAAAGCGTTTTGAAAGATCGATCCGCTTTCTTTCTCTTTTAAGTCATTATTCCAAGTAGAGAAAGCTTTCAGGCTAGACAAACTGAGAAGAAACAATTTTTAAAGAAATTGGCAGAAAAATTACCAATATGTCAAGAAGAAGGATTCCCATTAGGATTAACTAAAAATTTAATCAAGACTAAAAATTTGCTTGAGCACAGTGTTTTTAGGTAGAAGCACAAGCGTCTTTTGGGAAAGAACAATTTTGTGCCTTATGAGAGAATATCTTGTGCATTGAAAAAATGCTCAGCCTCTCTGGTACCTACATAACAATTGCTCTCTACCACTCTAATGTCAGATTTCACACACACACACAAAATGTATGCACACACACACATACACACACACACCCATAGTCCCTAAAAGATAACGCCTTTAGTTCAGAGTCAACAATAGTATATAAAGTAAAAAAAAAATTACTGATTAAGTGCAGTTTATTGATTGAACAGTGTTCCATATGATACTTGAAACATTATAGCTTCTCAATGATTAATAAATGAATAAATCAATATGAATTTATTTTCACTTCTATTTTATTTACATACGCTGGTAAAATCTTGTGTCTCTCAATAGTATATGTGAAGGAGACCTGAGAAATACAAAGCAGTTTATTTCTAAATTTCAAATATATTAAACTCTCTGGTTTGGTAGTTTCCTAAATCACCATACAGTTTTCAACATTTGCATACTATTTGTTGGGGAAAAAAGAGAATTAAGTAAATTATAGGAAATTGAAAAAAATTATATAAAGTAAAGTGATAAAATATGAGATTGAGGGATTAAATCTCTAATAACTGATATTTTTGAATGCGATTCTGTAACTTTATGACTATTTTTACATTTTTTTCTTAATCTCCCACCCCCTCCTTTGTCTTCTTAAAACTTGCTTTCTAGGAACATTTATCAAAAGACTTGAATGGCAAAACTTTTACTTTGAGAATAATGTAAACAAACTTTCATATTTTATGTAGAAACACCTGGAAAGGAAATGGGAAAACCTTTTATTTTTCAGAAAAACATTAAGTCTAGCTTGGTTGGCTTAAGGAAGGTACCAAATTCCTAGAGCAGAACGTTGAGTCATAAATATTTCCAGTTCTCCAACTATATAATAAGGATAGGAAGGTACATGTGTTTCACTTATGTCCTAAAAGTTTTCTAAAAAGTGCTCAAAATGCATATCTTAAGAGCCATTGTCTTTAAATACAATCTGCGAATCGCTTTCCCAGCATCTCAGAGGGATGATTTAAGCCTCGCAGAAGACTTAGCGTGCAATCAATGTTCAGCTGAAGATCAAGTGACCCTGACGGAAGCAGAGCTGCTGGGAGAGCAGGTGCCTCCTTCTCCGGGTCTCAGCCTCTTCACCACGCAAGCCGGCCCACAGTCACCTCCTCCACCACTTGGGGTTATGGGTAATAATAACTTAGATAATGTTAGCAGGAGCCCTAGGCTAGGCCAAGCAGAGCACGATTCACACAAGGTCATGGGACTACATTATAATAACATATCTCCTCAAAAACAAACATTCTTTAATTGGCATACAGTACATAAACAAGCTCTTCCAACATGGCATTTTATTTCTGCTTTTCAATTCGAATTGCATTTTCTGCAAGACTTATAATTTAAGGGCAAAAAATTCCCAATTATTTTTAACACAGAAAACATTTAACTCCTGTGATGGTCGAAAACAATAAGAAATGTCAGATTATTTCATTTAGTCAAAACACAGAATGCTGATAATTCTGTGTAACCCAATAGCAGACAAGAAATGATCACCTGTTTCTAGACTGGAGAGAGAAGATGGCTTTATTGAAATTCATAGAAATGATCACTAAGTAAACATGAATAAAATAATGACTATTTAATTCAAATTTTCAAATGTGAATAGGCAATAAATAATATTTAAGCATGTTTCAACTGATCTGATTCCTAAATGTCATGAGACGTTCTACCTAAGTGGAATGTTTAACAAAGCGAGAAAACTCAGCCGACTCTGTATAGTGCGGATGCAACAATCAGCCTAGGTAAAATCTAACCTAGATATCCTACACACCATCCACTCTAACACTAGCAAAAATTATATTAGAATCTTATTTCCTCCTACATTGAGATGGTGTTTTAATGAATTACAGTAAACTGTAAATTATGAAACAATTTTTTTAAACATGAAGAAAATATTAGTGGCTATAGAATGAATTATTGAATGAAGATTCAAAAGCAGAAACACAACTTGAAAACTTAACATATATAGCCACATAAAAATTCAAGAATCTAAACATACACACACATGTATACACTCATATATAGACTTATACATGTCCATTCACACAGACAGAAACCGTAACATTGACTGCAAAACAAACGAAGAAAAATATCTGACATAAATTGATAGACCAAGGGCTATTCGGACCCAAATGACACACACATGTGTCATTAGCAGAAATGGGAAATAAGCATGAATTGTTACACCAGAAGATATATACATCACTAAAAATCATATCCCCCATTTTCAATTTACAAATAATAAGCAGTTGAAAAATTCAGTGAAGGAGAATATTCCTACTTAAATACTATGTAGCTTTTTAAAGAGATTGAGAAAAAATAGCTATTTACTGAAATAAAAAGATTTCTAGGCTATGCTGCTACACTCTCAACATCAGAATATAGGAAATGCTAGATATTGTATACAAAATAGAGAGAAGCAATAACATACATTATCTTGAAAACACATGATGGAGCCGGGCTCAGTGGCTCAGCCTGTAATCTCACCCGTTGGGAGGCTGAGGTGAGTGGATTGCCTGAGCCCGTGGGTTCGAGACTTGCCTGGGCAACTTGGCGTGACCTCACCTCTACAATAAATCAAAAATTAGCTGGGCGTGGTAGCGCGCGCCTGTAGTTCCAGCTACTTGGAAGGCTGAGGTGGAAGGATCGCCGGAGCCCAGCAGGTTGAGACTGCGGTGGCCAGGAGCCTGCTACTGCACTCCTGTCTGGGCCAGAGTGAGACTCCGACTCAAAAAAAAAAGAAAAGAAAACACATGATGAAAGTCTGGTAAGATGCACATAAAAGTCATATGAGTGACTTATTGTGGGAATGTGGAGATGGGAGTGAAGTGAGAGGTAAGTCTTCACAACATTTCTTTATGTGCCAAGCAGTGAGATAGGAATATCTATTCTAAATAAAAATAAAAAATAGAAAGTAGTCTAGGCCAGGTATGGTGACTCACGCTTGACATTCCAGAACTTTGGGAGGCTGGGGCAGGAGGATTGCCTGAGATCAGGGGTGTGAGACCAGCCTGGGCAACTTAGTGAGGCCTCATCTCTACAATACATAAAAATATTAGCCGGGCGTGGTGGCACATGACTGTAGTTCCAGCTACTTAAGGCTGAGGTGGAAGAATTGCCTGAGCCCAGCAGGACAAAGCTGCGGTGGCCGTGAGCGTGCCCCTGCACTCCGGCCTTGGTGGCATAGTGAGACTCCAACTCAAAAAACAAGAAAAAATTGAAAAAAAAGAAAGACAGTAGTTTAAAAGGTAATGAAAATATGCAAGTTAGAATAGTGAGATCTGCTTTCTTACCGATCAGAGTGGTAAGTATTTTCTGAAAGAATATCCTCATTGCTGGCTAAGGCAGTCTCAAAACTGCCTTGGGAAAAACAGACTCCTTTCTGTAAAGTGGCAGTAGAGCTCGAGAGTCCTAAGTATTTTATTCCCTTCCAAGAAGTCACTCTTTTAAGTTCTAGTCTAAGGAAATAATCATAATATAATATTTTTAAAAAGAAAATGCATGGTCACCTAAAGACTGGCTGTGAAGAATAGAAAGTTAAGGGCAAAGGATTCAACGTGTCAAAACGGAAGTCAGAATAACTCCATACCTTTCTTTCCAGGTTTTTCTTTTTCTTTTACTTTTTCTTTGTCTTTTTCTTTCTCTCTGAGTGCAGCTGTAAAGAAACAGGAATACTTTTCATTTAAGTAAAAGGGATAAATGAGAAAACATTGCATGGTAGTTTTTAATATCAAAAACTTAATCTGCTACTTTTAGAACTCTTCCTTTAACTGGCAGGAGATTTTACATAGTTAGAGGTTTAAACTTCAAGATAATTATATATTTATTTTTTTATTTCTATTTTTATTTCATATTCAGACACAAACTAGTACCAAACCAAGCCTGATTGCAAAGATAAGAATACCCTTCAGCTTTTCCAGATCTTTAATTTAATGAACTGAAAAATTTAAAAAGTTATCATGCCATATGCCTAAGGAGCCCGGCTTTGATATTGGACGAATGCCAGAAATATGAAGCTAAAAATAGAGAGACATAATTTTCTGAACTAGAAGCAAAGAACAATCATTCTAAATTGCATGTGTTAATCTTCTGAAAAAAGTCCACACAAAAAAATTTTTTTAAAATATGCTGGAATGAGACTAAAGCATACTAAATCTTTTCAAAGAAAACAAAATTTAACTTAATCCGAGCAATGATCCAAGTAATTATTACAACAGGACTCACATTTAAATCATAATCTCATCCCACACTTCAGTCATAATTCTTATTCGTTATCCGACTAGAAGCATGGGACTCATCTCAATTGGTCACTGTCTTTTATTTTTCTCTTTCTGTTCATTCTTTCAATCATACTTTTTAAATATCCCTCTTACCCATCATCTTTTATCCAATATTATACTCCCAAACACTCATTTATTTACACGAGAATATAAAAAGAACCCCGATGTGCTGAAGACTCTGTTAAACATGACAGATGCCCTTCTGGTCATCATGGTGTCAACAAGCTAATGGCTGACAAATGCTGCACATGTCATTACAAGGGTGGGCAAGTGCAGTTAGCAAAATTGCTATGAAGAAACTATGCAGGTCGGGATGTGGACGCCTAAAATGGGTCTGAATTTAATCTGTGTTGGGGAAAGGCTTCTTGGCAGAAGTGACATTTAAGAACGTGAAAAAACGAGAAGAAATGAGCCTACCACAAGAGTAGGAAGGACAAAAGGGAAAGAGACCGTTTCAGAAAGTTGGAGCAGAATGTGCGCCCTGGCCTTTTATTACACTTATTATCATAATATGTCCCTGACTAGTCCTTCGAACCTTTAGATGTAGCTTTTTCTCTCTTATAGTTGCCTTTCTGGCATGAACATCTGATTATATCATCGCCTGTTGTAAATGTTAGTGCCCCCCCCGCCTTTGCATGGTATCTGTCACACAGTAGGTGCTACGTCAAACATAAAAATATTGTATTGCTCCAGTGGTCTGACATTTGCTTACCGATCCAATCTCCTCTCCCAGGAATTTCTCCTTGAACTTGACATTCCCGTGATAACTAAACGCTTGTTGCTCTACAAGCATGCCATGTGTCCCCATAATGCCTTTGCAACTCTGCCTGCTGATGCCTTCCATCTAGAATTTCCACAACTGCGTCTCTTCATTTTTCTTTCCCTGTTCCATGCTCCCTTTCATCTTGGTTCAAATGCCTCCACCTGTGTATTGTCTTTGATCTCTACTTTATCATATACCATCTGCACCATGTACGTAATTCGACTTCAGCAATAAAATAACGATACTACCATTGTTTATATGTCTGACTATCCAGTAAATAAAATCTTTAGGGCCACACATGTTATCTATTTTTGGCATCTCTGACTCACCACATGGTCATAATATTTTTGAATAAGTAAAATTCTAAAATATAATTTAAAAAGCTAGTTTTGTCTTCTAATTAAATTGTTTATGAATGATGTGGTATATATATATATATGTCACTTTTTGCTTCACATCATTTGAAATTTTTTACAATGCATTAACATTTTTTAGATAATCTCAAGACTACTCAAATACCCAAAGAAAAAAAGGAGAACAAAAGAAAATCTTAGAACACTGAGTTTTTTTTTTTTCTTCCCAAATTTCACCTTAGGTGTTTTGAGCTACGAAGTTCAATATAAATATCTCCCAAATTAGGGCTAAAACAAATCAGCATTCGCACTGACCACAAGTAGTTTGTTTTGGTTCCTTTGAATCACTATTAATTAAGCTAAAAAAAAAAAACCTTGGCAAAAACAAAGCCTCTTTTAAAGTTTCTCTAGGGGGAACCAAGTTTGCTTGAGATAAGCTGTGCTTTCAGGACTCTGATTGGAAAGACCCCCAGGGGAACACCTAAGCTGTGTCTCTGCCTCTGTAAGAAACGAGACTCGCCCACCTTGGACAGCTGGTTGTCCATTCTGCTAAAGGATTTTCAGATTGACGTGTGCACAGGCATAAATGAGAGAATTAATACAAAATCAAAAGAGCAAAGGGGCTGAATTCAGACTCAAATTAGCATATTAATGCCTGATTCTTGTTGCCCTCGGGAAAAGTCTAGTTCCTCCCAGCCGGAATTTTGATTTACAGACACAGTACTGTATGCTAGAATTTCATTATCCCTCTCAGAAATGGCACCGTAACACTTCTTAGTGGAGCAGCTGGACCCGTGTGCTCTAGGGAGCTGTTCAGAATGGCAGACAGCCACTAAACCTTCTTGGACGGAAACTTCAAACTTTGGCAAGACTGCTCAAATACCAAGTTTTGAAATGCCTTTCAACACAACAATACAACGATCAGTAACTGCCTTAGTAATCACTCTACAATAAAAATGAGTTGCTCCAGAAGCTGCATTTGCTCGTGTGTCTCCTTGTTTAAAACCCACAACCAGGGGTTTTTGTGTGGAAGAAGTAGCAAAGAGGACCTCCTTGTCCCCAACCTTGTCTGGCAAGTTCCGTCTTAGCCGGGACAGTTTTAGTTCAGGACAAAATAAGCTTTTTGCACCTGCTAGAGCTTAATTTGTTTGTCCTTCTTGTTTACAAGAAACAAAAGTCCCTTTGGTATGCAGATCATTAAAAGCAAATGGAATCCACCCCTTGGAAGGGCCCTGGTGTTTGGCATCTGAGTTGGCATGGCCCTGCTGTTCCTGCCCTTGCCCAGACTCTGACCCTTCCCTGACCAGAACATTCAGTCGGACTCAACGCAAGCACGTCTCTCACCCCCCCGGGCGGCCCCTCTCCGACACTTTCCAAGCTGTGCTCTGCACTTTCGCTGTTGACCCTGGAAGCTGCCAGGCGAACTGCGTCTTTTCCTGAAGTGGATCAGGGCTCACGATGTGCTTGACCCTGTGGTTCTTTATTGGGTACAACACAACAGGGGCCACGCTGTCAGAGTTCTCGATCTCTCTGTTCTTGGTTTCCAATTTGAAAATTTTGGTGCCAAATTTCTTCAAGTGCTGATTTGTGTAGGCTACTACATTCTTTGTTTGATGGTTAGCAAATAAATTTAATTAACCAAAATTCTAGAATTCATGCTTGACTTCAGACTACTGCATAGGACTAATCTCAAGCATCCACTCTGAAATACATCAAAGAGATATACAAGCAAGCATTAGACCTTTTCATTGTGAAGGACTTTGGGGAGCACCATTACTTATAATATATTTTACTAATATTTCTTTTAGCTAATTTCTCTGCTTTTTATATTTTTACTGCTTTTTGTTCGTTTCGTCTTGGGATGGAGTCTTGCTATGTTGCCCAGGCTGGTGTCAAACTCCTGGGCTCAGCAATCGCCCCAAGTAGCTGGGATTACAGACATACACCACTACTATGCCTGGCCTCTAATTTTTCTTTTTTTTTTTGGTTGGATAGGTGAACATTTCAAACAGCTTCATAAAATGTATAGACATTGTTCTAATTCATCTTTTTTTAATGAAAGAGCATGATACACACATTCATTTTAAATTAAAAACACAAATTGTTTCAGCTACCACTAAACAAAAATGCCAAAATTGTATGTCTTGGTTAGTGAGTATGCCTCTGCTTCATTTTTTAAAAATAACTAATTTGTAAAATTTCAATTCTGTTCAAAGGCAAAATAATCCACATGCTTTTTAAAAGACAAAAATGAACTTGATAAAAAAAACCTTCTTGGGCAAAAAAAGTATTCTCAAAGATTTCCCAAAGGAATAATTCAAAATTTTAACTTCAATATAATCACACGATTTTTAGAGCTGGTAGGAATTTAAGAGGGCAACTAGGCTGAATATCTTTGTTCACAGATAAGAAAGTGCAGGTTCATAAGAGTCCTCAGCAGAGCAAGAAATAAATATTTTATCTATTTGCTCAGCCAGTAGTTTTCCCTCAAAATGACACCGCCTTGTCCATCCCCGGTCTCCAGCAGACTCTAAACTTGCTCTTATGAGCCAAAGTGTGATGACTGAATTCTCCAAGCACGTTAATCTATGCTCTACCATTCAATCATGTACACACTTTGTTTTTTATAATGAGCCCTTTAATTTTTCTACTAAAGTGAAAATTCGGCAAGTTACCCAAAGTTACAGATCTCACTTGATACGTAGGCTTTCAAACACAAAATAGACATCCTAACTCTGAAATATTTGTTTTATTTTCAAATTCCACTGAATTATATAAACAGTTGTCCCTTCATCGGGGACTACACAGCCACAGTAGGAGTTGCAATCACTTCCTTCTGTGGGAACCGTCACCATGGAGGCGGTGACGCCCAGCTTTGTGGAAAGCCTTCTGTTCTCATTTTCCAGGTTTGCCTTCCACAATTGCCAGAAGAGAAGGGAAAACGTATTTTGTACTTTAAGGAGTCAATTAAATACAGCAGGAGACAAGACAAAAACTAGAAGTCTATATGATACAGGATGACTAAATTAATTTGTGAGCTCTCAGAGTATTTTTTAAAGGATTCTGGGATATTTAGACACATTTTCATGGTCTGTTCTCTTTGATTTTGAGCCTCACCATCAGCAAATTCCCTCATCAGCCTATGATTCCAATCCTGCAATTGTTTCAGAAACTTGAGGAGTTTAAGCCAGTCAATCCGTATTACATTTCTAAATCATCCTTTTAAAAAACATTCCTGGTCGGGTGCGGTAGGACAAGC